CAAACAAACATCTCTTGGGTGAGTTGAAAGAGGCAAAAAGTAAGATTATCTCCTTGACCATTGGTGCTTCAAAAATTGATAATATGTTGAATATGGGAAAACTTCATGGTGATAAAGGGGGTCTTGGATATAATCCAATTGAATCTAGTGTGTCTAGCTCAACTACCAAGTTTGTCAAGTCTACTATTCTAGTCATGTCCCCTGATACACAGTATGTAGTTAAGAAGCCGAAGTTTGTTCCAATCTGTTAGAAGTGTGGGTTGACTGGTCATATTCGACTTGTTTGTCATATGTATAAAAGAGATCAAAACAAGATGTTGTCTTCCAAGTCTAGACGAAATCCTAGATCACTGCTAGTTTAGGTTGATCATTTACTTAAGGAAGTAACTAAAATTGCCAAAACTTGTTTCTTCTTCTATGAAGTCCTCACATGGTTTGTCACTTCTTATCTTACTCTTCAAAGCATCTATAAGCAAAGCAACCTATTCAGGCTATGTTGTGTTCTAGAGAATTGCATAATGGACCATTTGTTCAACATAATGAAGGTATTAGGGCTCAATTAACTATACTTTATGATGTTAATTTTTGGTCCTATGTTGCTTTTTGCATCAAAAGTGTTATTCCATTAGTATATGTTTTGAGAAAAGTTGATTTAGAGGAAAGACCTGCCATCTGATTTATTCATGAGTTAATGGATGTTGCAAAAGAGAAGATTGCTTTTAATTGTGGAAAAGTTGAAAGAAAGTATAAACCAATTTGGAGAAGAATAGAAGAAAGATGGGGCCCACAACTTCATCAACCTTTATATGCTGGTTATTATTTGAACCGTGCTATGAAGAAACCTTTTCTATTGTTGATGAAGTGAGTAAGAGATTGGAAGATTACATGACTAGGATGTTGTCTTTTGAGGATCTTATGGCTGCTAATATCCAATTGGACTTGTATGATGAGGCAAAAAGAGAGTTTGGATGTCGGCTTGCTATGAATTCAAGGAAACTATGAACTCCAAGTTATAATATTTACTCTTTCATTTTAATTTGAGTATAATGAACACTTGAAATAAATGTTAAACTTAATTAGATGGGTTTGTTTTGTTTTTATTATCAAATTGGTGGAAGCATTTTGGAAGGGACACACCTGAGTTGACGAAGTTTGCTATTAGGATCCTTAGCCTTACTTATAGTGCATCTGGGTGTGAGAGGAATGGGAGAACATTTGAGTAGGTAAAGTTCTTTGGCTATTTTATTGTTCAAAAGTCAATTTGTCAAAACTTTGATGCTTCTAAATCTAATTTTGTATGATTACGTTCATTTTAGATTCATACAAAGAAAATAAATAGACTTAACATCAAAAGTTCAATGTTCTAGTATATGTGAAGTATAATACGACACTATGAGAGAGAAGTATTAGAAGAAGGTCAAAGATTGATATTGTAAGAAAATCCAATTACCAAGTTAACAGGCCTCCTTTAATTCATTTAGTTATATTTATATTGTTCTTATTCTTAATCCATCTTTGGCAGACTTGTTACATAGGTGAATCGATCTGATTCACCAAATAATAGTTCTAGAATTATATAGAAATCTAATTTACAATGAAAGGTGTTATAAATAAAGAAATAACACATGCAAGTATCATTTCGAAGGGTGAATAGATGTTATCCTACTTGTTATAATATAGAAGCACAGATTTGCTCATCATTTATCTCACACTCAATCTAATATCATAACTGAAAAAACCAAAAAGCAATAGAGGAAAACAAGAATCAATCTACCTATTCTTTCCACTTTTTATTTATTTATTATGGAGTACTTTAATTATTCCTGACTCATGGAAATCCTCTTTTTTTCTATTTTTTTAATGGTATGAGAAGAATAAAGCATGTATAACATATATATTAACTTCATTTATTTAATCAAAGAATTATAACTAATTAAATAAGCAGAACGTGCATGCAAGTCCTATATAACATCATATACATTATGCGGGCCTCTAAGGGTGGAGTATTATTATAAGCTTGTGTGAGTAACGAGGACTGCTATATAATGAGGCTTGGCCCCCAAGGAACTCAAATCAAAGCAAAACTGTTGAGATTTTGTAATCTGAGTGTGTGTGTTTGTTTGATTACTGAAGACGAAAGAGAGGAAAAATGGATAGCTATTTGATCATGCTCAACGAATGGATCACTCTCCACATGTCACTTGGACAAATTACAATAAAGGCCCTACACTTGGTTTAATTAACAAAGTGAATACACAATTTACTACAAGGCATATTTATGCTAAACTTGAATCAGCTCACAGCTTATACACTAACACTCTCCTTTAAGCTTTGAGCTAATACAACTCCAAGCTTGTCTCTAAGATAGTTGAATCTCTTCTTTGGAAAAGACTTGGTAAAAATGTCTGCCACTTGATCTTTAGTAGGACAATAAATCAAATCAATAATACCTTGTTGTAGAGCATCCTTAATGAAATGATACCTCCTGTCAATGTGCTTTGTCCTTATGAAACACCGGATTTTTAGTGATTGAGATTGCAGATGTGTTGTCACATTTCAGAGGAGTAGCTTCTATTTGTAGTTCACCAAAATCCTTCGAAACAAACCTAAGCCATATAGCTTGAGTTGTAGCTTCTGAAGCACTAACATATTCTGCTTCTGCAGTTGAGAGAGCAACACAACTTTGCTTGACAGAAGCCCATGAAAAAACTCCACTTCCAAATGAGAATGCATAGCCATATGTATTTTTGCTATCTTCAATAGAGCCTCCCCAATCACTGTCACAGTATCCAACCAACACTACCTTCTTGCCTTTTTCGTACATCAAACCATAGTCTAATGTTCCTTGAACTTACCTTAGCACCCTCTTAGCTGTTCCATAGTGCTTATTAGAAGGACCATGCATATATCTAGCTAGTAAACTAGCTGCATACATCACATCTGGCCTTGTAGCAGTAAGGTACAACAAACTTGCTACAAGCTTCCTATATTTCTCTTCATCTGCAGCATCACTTCCATCATTCTTAATCAACTTTTCAGTGGCTACAAGAGGAGTAGACACAGGCTTACAATCATTTAAGCCAAATTTATTCAACAAAGAAGAAGCATACTTCCTTTGATGAATAAAGATGCTTGAATCTGTCTGAATCACTCCCATTCCTAGAAAATGATGGAGAAGTCCCAAGTCAGTCATTTTGTACTTCTCCTTCATATCCTTTTTGAATTCATTCAGCATTTCTTGATTGCTTCCTGTATATATTATATCATCCACATAGATGGATACTATTAGCATATCCTTTTCTCTCCTTGTCTTAGTATAGATAGTGGTTTCACTCAAACTTTTCTCAAAACCACATTCAGAAAAATAACTGTCAATCTCTCCATACCAGGCTCTAGGTGCCTGTTTTAATCCATAGAGAGCCTTGTGCAGTTTATAGACTTCATCTTCCTTGCCTTCAAGCACAAATCCCTTAGGTTGCTCAACATACACTTCTTCTTGCAGCTTTCCATTCAAGAATGCAGACTTAACATCTAGCTAATGCAACTTCTAGCTTCGTTGTGCAGCAAGTGCAATTAAGGTTCTTATTGTATCCAATCTAGCAACTGGAGCAAAAGTCTCATTATAGTCAATTCCTGGTTTCTGTACATATCCCTTGGCAACCAATCTTGCCTTGTTCTTTTGCACTGAACCATCTAGATTCAGTTTGGTTTTGAACACCCATTTCACCCTAATAACTTGTTTGTCACTTGGTCTGTCTACAAGTTCCCAAGTCTCATTTTTCTAAATCATAGATAGTTCATCTTTCATAGCTTTTATCCATGCCTTATCTTGTGCACCTATCTTGTGCACCTTCCTCATACTTCTCTGGTTCCACAATGTAGATATTGCATTGTGCTAGGATATCACTGATGTTTCTCCATTTAACTGGTGTATGATCATAAGGTCTTGTGATCTCAGTAGTTCCATGGATATTTCTCTCTTGATCTTCAATTTGAGAAGAAATGCAAGGACTAGGATAACTGTCTTCTACTTCTGTCACTTCATGTAGGCTGGGATCAATCACAATCCTAGATTGATCTTGAATATTTGTCACTGCAATAGGCATCTTTGTCTAGCTTTCCAGTTCCAAGCCATACTTTCATCAAACACAACATCCCTTGACAAAATCAACTTCTTAATGAAAGGATCAAATACTCTGTACCCCTTCTCACAAATTGCATACCCAACAAATACACCTTTGACACTCTTGGCATCAAGCTTCTGTCTTGTTTCAGCTGGTACATGTTCATAGCAAAGTGATCCAAACACTTTTAAATGATCAATGCCTGGTTTTCTGCCACTATAGGCCTCAAATGGAGTTATGTTATCCAGTGCTTTGGTAGGTGATCGATTTAGGAGATAAACAACTGTGTATACAACTTCTGCCCATAGGAAGTAAGGCATATTTTTCTCATGAAGCATTGCCTTGGCCATTTCCACCACAGTCCTATTTTTCCTCTCTACTACCCCATTTTGTTGTGGGGTGTAGGTTGTGGTTAGTTACCTTTGAATCCCTCATTCTTCACATAGTTTGTTGAATTCACCTCCTCTATCACTTCTCACACATTTCACCTTGAGCCCACTTTGCAATTCTACCATTGATTTGAACTTTCTAAAGCAGTTTATTGCATCTAATTTATACCTTAGAAAATAAACCCAAGTCATCCTTGTGCAATCATCAATGAGTAGCATAAGGTACCTGTTTCCAGCTATGGATTCAGTCTGCATAGGACCACACAGATCTATATGTATCAGTTCAAGTGGATTTCTTGCTCTCCAAGCCTGTTCTTTAGGAAACCAGTCTCTATCTTGTTTTCCCAACTGACATCCTTCACACACACCATTAGTTTCTTCTAGATATGGGAGTCCATGAACCATATCTTGTTCTCTCAATTGTTTGAGACTTCTGAGGTTTAGGTGACCTAACCTCTTGTGCCAAATCCAAGTACATTCTATCACACTAGCCTTCAATGCAATTTAATCATTTTGCATTAAGGATAAAGGGTAACACCTATTGCTCTTCATCTTAACCTTGATAACCAATTTGTCAAGTGAGGGGCCATAAAAAATGCAACACATACCTCCACCAAAGAGCAGGTAATACCCATGTTCATCTATCTGTCCAACACTCAACAAATTTTCCTTCAAACCAGGTAGAAACATGAATTCCCTGATGTATTTTCTGCCTGCACTTGTGTTAATCACCAATGAGCCTATTCCTGCAACATCTACCAGATTTCCAGTAGGCGTTTGCACCTTTCCATGGACATTTGTCCTTACATCAACAAGCAACTCAGCATTTCCAGTCATGTGGTTGCTACAACCATTATCAATATACCAATTTCCATTCATTTGCACTTCAGTAATGACACTATTAGCATAAAAAATATTTCCAGTCAGCTCAGCTTGATTAGCACAATTTGCCTTTTGAATAGCCTTACCATCTGTGCATTCCCTGGCCAAATGTCCAAATATATCACAATTAAAACATTTAGGCTTCCCCTTATATCGACACTCACCAAAGTGAAATTTGGAACACACTTTGCACTGTGGTTTAGCTACATCTGGTTTCATGAATCTTGCAGAAGTTGAAGTCTGTGCAGGATTGGCAAATGTTCTTTGTTGAAACTTAGACTTAGACTCCCATTTCTTTCATTTCGAGTTTGAATGCTTATATGATTTAGCTCCACCATCGTAAGCATTACCACTAGTTTGCCCCTTTTGACTCACAGGATAGGCAAATGCCCTTTCAGTGGTATCCACATTATGTAGATCAAACCTTTGTTCTTTACTTTTCAAAATAGCTACAACTTCCTGCAATTCCACAGTCTCCAAACTTTTGGTATTTTCAATAACCAGACAAATAGGGTCGTATGGCTTGCTAAGGCTAATCAACATTTTCTGAACAAGACTTTCATTAGTCAGAATCTCACCAAATGTTTTCATTTGGTTTATCAAGTCATTTAGCCTAGTCAGATAATCAGATAGAGTTTCATCATCTCTCATCCTAGCATACTCAAATTCACGCCTCAGATTTTGTAGTTTTATAGATCTCACCTGATCACCACCATGATACTCTCCATACAGCAAATCCCAAGCCATTTTTGCTGATTCAGCATTAGCTATTCGTAGGAAAATCTGATCTGAAACAGCATTCTGAATAATGCCCAGAGCCTTAGCATCCTGCATGTAGGCAAGCACCATTTTCTCATCACTTTCCTTTTCTAAACTTCCTTCAGCTTTCTTCTTCTTGGAATTTGAGGTCATAACCCCTTTTTCAACCAATCTCCACAACCCATGAGACTTGAAGATTGTCACCATTTTGATTCTCCAGAACTTGTAGTTCTCACCGGAGAAAACTGGAGTCCTAACTTTAGAACTTCCAGATCCAGCCATAGCTTGGCTCTAGATGCAATGTTACCCAAATCGAAATTTGATTTTTATGAAATTTCTGCAACTTCGCCCAAGCTCAACCAATCTTGAGAGGAGCTCAATTTCTTATGCCCAGATCTTAATTGATCGAACCTGGCTCTGAGGCCATGTTGAGATTTTGTACTTTGAGTGTGTGCGTTTGTTTGATTACTGAAAAATGGATAGCTATTTGATCATGCTCAACTAATGGATCACTCTCCACATGTCACTTGGACAAATTACAATAAAGGCCCTACACTTGGTTTAATTACCAAAGTGAATACACAATTAACTACAAGGCATATTAATGCTAAACTTTAATCAGCTCACAGCTTATACACTAACAAAAACTTGTAATCAGTTTTAAGTTGTAATTAACATGGGGAATCAAGTTTCCTCTTCTCCTGCTCCTACACCTTCTCATGATTATCAAGAAGGTTGATATGGAGTGGTGGAGGCGGCCAACATGGAGAGTCATGGAGCCCCACAGAAGCTGCAAAGGTCTAATTACAATAAGCTCGTCATCAGCTCTGACGAGGCAGTGCGAATCGATGGTGGAATATGTGTCACAGAAATATATGGTACGAATTCTACTCGTACCAGTAAACCAACC